AATTAGTTTTTGGTAAATATTTATGCTTATTAATCACCTAATTAACATAATTAATTAACACTGATATCTAAATTACTGATCATCACATTTGAATAAAATTTGGTACATAAATGCTCTAGGACAATAGACAGACCTGATTATTTTGGGGTTAAAATTTGTTCATATTAATTCTCTAATAAGCATAATAATTCATAATTTTTTTTGTTCTGTTCTGTTCATACTAGTTACCTGATTTACATAATTAGTTTTCAGCTTTTCCATCAATATCTCATGTACTAGTAATTTTGAATTAATTTTTAATGTGTCTTCAATACTCTCAGCACACAGGAGTTCTTTCTAAGCTTTCTTTGATTTCAATAATTATCTTAAAAATTACAATCAGTTTTCTTGACATTTAATTTTTTTTAACTAACTGACAAAAGAATGAGAGGAGTACTGCTGGTTTATATAGTATTGTTATTAAATACAGTATACAATGTATATTTTTTAAGCATTCCAGAGTAGAAAATATAACATACCATTACAATGATCACATAGCATTTTCCAGAACAAAACTAGGTATTGTCCCTAATACACAGGAGTTGTTTGTGTATAGATTATGATTAACCATTTGAAAACCAACAATAAATTTTGTCACCATTTACAAAAAAAAAACAACCTAGATATATTTTTTATTTAATTTCAAATATTTTTATCAAGACACGCCTGTATATCACATAAAATTATTGGTCCAAAAGCAACAAAAATGTTTAAGAAAAAATACAAAATATTGCAGTTAAATTGTGTGCGTGAAAAATGTTGGTGTTGAAATTGTTAATGACCTAAACTGGGGTAGATACATAGCAGCATGATATTTTACTTCATTCTAGTCTCATCGCTGCCATTTTTTTTTTTTTTTTTTTTAAACATGTTATTGATTTTCAAGCATAATCATGACTTTTTGGTTTTGTATATTAGCGTTGGTGTCATTTTTTATAGGAGTGGTGCGCCTTCTATTTTGTGCTTTCAAACTGAGTCAACTGTGCTTCATTTTGTACAAGAAACCCAATATGTCTATATTATTATTTTCTCGGATGTAGCAATACTTGGGTGAAAAAATTTGTCTGCTTTTGTTATGGCAGCGTCTACAAACATGTCAGTCTGCTGATATTTGATAAAAAGAATTTTATTTTCTGTGACATTGAATACCGATTACCACAATATCACTTTCACTTGTTTATGTTACATCCCATATCTCGTATGTGCACGTATGCAAAACAACTTCTGGGAAAGTAGTCTATTGTCATTCATTCATGTGGTATGAAACATTTACACTTTTAGTTGCCAGAGGGCATACTTCACAATTTGACAACTGTTAAATTTCTTCAAATTCACGTTGGTGACCACTTATTTTTTTTACTGCTGTATAATTTCATATTAATAAGGTCTCTCAAGTAGAAGTTTGATTTAACTAGTTAAAATTATTCTATGAGTACTTAAAAGTACTCTATAGCGATACTCTGACAAATAAAATTAGTTTGTAACAGCTGTATATAGAGCATTAATGTGGTTGGTGACGCCAATTTTTTTATAATTCGTCACACTATCAACTGTTAGGAAAATATGGCTTCCCACTCTTTAAAAAGAGTGTTTGTGTGTCTGATGATCTAGCTCAATCAATTTTCCTTTCTACAATCAAATATTTCCATGGTTACCATGGCGTCGTGAGCTGTATCATCACTGTCAAAAAAAATAATATCATACATATGTATGTCAAGATTGTAGTTTGATTACGGTGTTTCATAGGTACATGTAATTTACTTTTAAAACTATTTAAAGGTAATAACAGGATAAAAACGA